TCTAAACCAGACGCCACACATATATACATACTATGTAATATAACTGTGATTCTTCACTATCAATTCTATTGCATCACATGGCCTGAACTTGGAGAGTGTGGTAACTAGAGTTGAAAACGGCATTCAATCTGAATCCTGCACTCTTGAAATATAAAAGGATATATTAGCAAAATGTGCTCTAGAATTAGAGATAAATCTTATGCCCCCTAAAACATCATTCATGGATTCTACAACTAAAGTCTGATATCAAATAATAGATGTCCTGAAAGGTTTCATATAATAATCTGTCAAGGAGCATACCTAGAAAGTAGCGTACACTCTTTAGTAGAATTTCACTGTTCAACTGGAATATGTAAACTTTAAAGTCGTTCAATCCACCAATGTTCAACTGGAATAAGCCTGAATTTTGTTTTTACTAGCACTCATAAAAGTCGTTCAATCCACCAATTTCACTATTTTCTGAGCAGAGCACCCACTAAATGATTCACGAAATTCACAACTTATCGAGCATAAATAATCAGAAGCCTAAAACTGTGAAACAAAACTCATTTTTTTTATCAACACGAAAAAAAAAGAAAAAAGAAAAAAAATCCACCTATTTAGAGTTGTGAATCATTTTTGCATTAATATTTACCCTTTTAGAGTTCAATTAATTCACTGTATCTAATAGAATTTCACTAAGAAACAAGATATCAACACGACAACAAATTCTGCAGCTCTATCATTTAAAAAAATTCCAAAAAACAGAAAACTCATCATCTGGAATATTAGAGAGAGCAATATAATGCGGAAAAAACAACAGAAATAAATATTTAATAAGAATTTCAGTGATACCTTTTAAGTGGCAGTCTTCGATTTCCCCGGTAATGATTTGAAGAGACCAACTGTAATTCACAATAAAAACAAACGAAATATAAATGTATATCGCTCCTTAATAGCTTATGAATCCTGAGGCACATTGAATAACCATAGAAGTTCATATATCCTCCACCCATCCAAACCAGTTTATTGGCATCAGAGAAGATTGAGAGAGGCGACGAGACGATGAACACTTACCATATTTCCCAACAATTCCAACTTTCTTGGTTCTCTTCGTTAAAGTAGCGCGGAAAAACTAGGGCCTCTCTTCTTAATCTCGATCGGCAGATATTTGATTTCGGGGAAGAACATTTGGAGGTTTTGATTTTATTTGGAGTGTAATTGTGTTAATTGATTTTGATTATTGTGCAATTTTTTAATGAAGATTTTAATAATTTATTGATTTGAGTTTATAAGGTTAATTAAGTAATTTATGTATAGTACAATGTGTGTACGAATGTGTACGATGTGTTTTTGCTGGGTTCGTACTTTTATTTTTAAATTTCATGTATCGTACTAGGTCGTACTAGGGTCGTACATAAAATCAATGGACGAGATTAAAATTTAATTATTTTGAACGCACTAGATTAAATATTTTACGATCCGAGAAGTACAACCCTCTCGGACCCTAGACAACCCCTTATTCTAGACTTATATTTGTGGAGATTCAATCTATGAATATAGGTGTAGGTCCTTGATCAATAAAATTAAATTAAATTAAATTAAATTATTAGTGTATAGACATAGATACCCCCAATTAATATTTATATATAAATATTTATTTTAGAAATTGAGGGAACAAATCCCACAAATCTCTCACTATCTCTCCTTTCTACACGGTCAAATATCTTTTCCATCACACCTACACACATTTCTCTCTCTCTCTCTCTCTCTCTCTCTCTCTCTCTCTCTCTCTCTCTCTCTCTCTCTCTCTCTCTCTCTCTCTCTCTCTCACACACACACACACACACACACACACACACACATACACACACATACCCCTCTCTCTAACACATGTACTTCTCTCTCTCAAAGTAACTAAATATGAAAATTAATTCTTCATTACTTTATAAAAATATTTAATTTTGTTTACATAAGTATTTTATAGCAATCTTCAATAATTAATTTTCTTGAGATCATATGTGTTGGGTTTTAATTGTTATTTGTATGTTCTCGACAATATTGCATTTTTTTTGTTTGCATTTTCTAATTAGTTTTACATGAACAAACAACAAAATAAAAAAAAAATTGAACAACATCATAAATTTGCAACATAAAATAGAAAACTGCAAATTGCAACTTATAAGTGAAAATTAAATTGTAAGATTATTATCACACGTCAAAAATCAAAAAACAACCAATTAAAAATTGTAAGGGTTTAAGTTTGCTGATTGGGTAATATATTTACAAAAAAATGAACATGCTTTATCATACAGTAAAAAGAACTCGAAACAATAAAATGATTGTGAATTATGAAACGAAATTTTTTTGCGCTCTAGAGGACCCTGTACTTGTTAGCAACATGAACAAAAATGGATCGCCGTTCTTTTTTTTTTGGGCAAATACAAGTTGACACGCTCTCACGAGTATAATATTTATCACACACAAGGATTGTCCAGTTCCGAAGTTTGACAATTGGACATTCACATGAATGAAGCGGGAAAATAAAGTAACGAAAATCGCTCATATTCTCACACCGTGAACTTTTTCTCCATTGACATTGATTCCGTGCACGTCCGTATGCATTTAATATTGCTTTTCCTTTCTTCGATCTTGTTGAACAATGACTTGATCCTTTTTTTTTTGCAGTGGATGTTGAATGTGAAACAAAAAGAGATAATGATTGTACGATACAAAACAACAAATGTAATAATTATATTAACAACCACTAATTACAAACTGCAAATATAAAAAGTGAAGGCAAATTGTACACGAAAAATGATAAAGAATGAAGTACAAATTGTAAGCTGCCAAAGTTATTTAAAACGACAAAATATGTTTGCAATAAAAAATAAAAAATAAAAAATACAAATTTCAACTTGAAATAGAAAATAAATTATAACAATACTATAGGATGTGCAACGACAATCTAAGAAGTATAATATTTTCACAATAAATTATATTTGTTGCAAACAATAAATTACACTTCAAAGAGAAAAATGAATGTAAATCCTTAAACAGTAATTTTTGACCACTGGCACTATCGAGGAACCTTTTCATGTCAGCGGCGTCAACCGAAAATTGTCTTCTTTTTTTTTTACCCAGATATGTATGGATTGAAACACTCCCACGATAGAATATAATGTACAATCTTGAACCTACAAAAAATAAATTGCAAACTTTAACCACGACTTACTAATTGCAGAGTTAATGAAAATAGCAAAAATAAATTGTGATTGCAAACAACAAACAACATACGCAAGTTCAAACAAGATTTGCAAAATAAACTGAAAATTGCAAATAAAAACTGATTGCAAACATGTGTAGAAAGAGAAAATTAATCTAAAGTCCATTTTATGAGGATTAGGGTACAATGTAAACCTAATTGCTAGCAACAAAATTCACAACTCAAGAACGTCAACATACAACAAGCATTACATTACATAGTTACAAAGTGAAAATTAAAATTGCAAATAAATGTCTCTTGCAATAAACATGTTTCAAAGTGTAAAAAAAGTAGCTTAATAAAAACTGCTTAACTAAAAGTTAAAAGAAATTAATAGCAAATATTAATTGCAGATGAAAACAACAGTTCATCTTACAAATGTAGACGTGAACTGCAAACTGCTAATAAGAACTCCAATTAAGACCAAACATGAACTGCAAACAACCAAAAATAACTTCAATTATAATAGGGAATTGCAAAGTGCAAACTGCAATTAAAAAAAAACATAAACAGACTAATAACTTCAACAAACCCGGTAATTTACATATGATTTCTCGGGGATTCGAATTCATCATCCTCGTTCGCTGTCTGAAGAAAAAAAAACAGGTTTTTGATATTAGTATTGAAAAAATCGAACAATCATATGTACATGTAGTTAATAGGAGTATTGCTTACCGAGACTAAATTGTGTTTGAGCCATTGTAGAAATCACAAACAACATATGAAGAAACAGCAGACGATGTCTTCAAACAACAAACGATCTCCAAATAAAAAACGAGAAAAGAAAAAAAAAACTGATTTCACAACGTAAACAACAAATGAAATTTTGTGGATTGCAAATAACAGACTCCATGCGATTTTTGGTTAGGTTTGGTATTGATGAAATCGATGTTTTGGAGCGGTGAAATTTGATGAAATCAATTCTTGGGAGTGGTGGGATTTGAGATTGAAATTACGTGAAATTTTGGGATGGATTGATTAACTCTGCAAGGAGAAAAATATGGGATATTTATTTTGGAGATTTTTATTTCCATATATTGTTAGGGATATTTTTGACATATTAAAAATAATAAATTTACTAAAATTAAATTTTATTAGTTGGATTTATAGACATAAAATCTCTTATAGAAGGACCTATAGCAAATTGTCCTATAGTATTAATCTTAAGTATTCAAATATATTACTTTTTTAATATTACTTTTTTTTCAATAATATATTTTTTTAGTTTCTTCTCAATTTTTTATAATCTAATAATTATTAAATAATTATTAGATTGTTATGTATATTAGTTTTTCAATTTTAAAATATAAAATTATTGAATAATTATTAGATTGTTATGTTTATTAATTTTTAAATTTTAAAATATAAAATTATTACCATTGAAATGTAGGTGTTACAAATAATACTTTAAGGGTAAGTGTTACGGATGCTATACTTCAAGGGTACAAAGTGTATCTAACGCTTATAATAATTCAAAACTTATTTCTAACAGTTAGAAACCATTAGTAATGCGTAAAGAAATTTTAATAATTAAAAAATAAATCAAAATTACGTTTAACAAATCATATACGATATATTTTTTATCTTTTCTTTTTATTATTCTTCTTCACAGCGCCTCTCTCTCTCCCCCACTCTCCCTTCTCCTCTCACTCACTTCACTCTCGCTCCATTAACTTCTTTATTTGAAAGTTCTGGGGGATCATTTTTGCTGTCATATGAAATTTTTTACACTATTATGCTAATAGAGTTGCTTTTCGTGACTAAATAATGTTTTTTTATAATATCAATTTTGATTTCTAGACATTGGTGGAAGTTTTCAACCCTTAGTTTCATTGAATTTGATTGAAGCTTTACCCAACTTGGAGTCCAGATCATCTATTCGATAAATGGGCTATTCAATTTTCAGGTATTATAATTTTATTATTGTTCCTCTCCCCATTACCCTAAATGTTAAATCATATTTGTGTTAATATAATTAATTTGATAATTTGTTATGAGAATATATTTTCTGGGTAGCTCATTCTTCCTATTATTTAGCAATGTTAATAAATCTTCGTTTTATTATTTAATTCAATCTCACTTACCTTTGATGCTCTATATGTGAAAATTTGTTACCAAAAGATATGCAACCAAACAATTACAAAACCATTAAATAAGAATATCACACCAACAATGACTGTTATTTAATATATATATATATATATATATATATATATATATATATATATATATATATTTATCATTTTTGTCGAATCCAAATGAAAGCGTCCATGAATCACTTTTTGAATTAAAAAATAATTCAAACAACATTTAACTACCCCTTAATCACAAAACACTCCTATGAATAAACACTCTTCTTAGCATATCAACTCATAGTGATACTCTTCTGAGAAAAAAATGAGTCTTTTTTTTTTTTTTTTTTTTAATGTTATAATAAATAGATGTCTCCACGCTCTCAACCTACCATGTTTAATTCTATCATATTCTAAAGGGTTAAATACAGTTTACACCCCTAATGTATATACTCTATAACACTTACCTCTAAAGTATCATTTGTAACACTAACCCCCTCAAGGTCAATTTAATTTGTATTTTAAATCTTAATACCTAAAAATTTTGTTTTTTTATTTAAAATATTAACTAAAATAATAATTAAATTATACAACTAAAAATATCTGTTGAAAAATGCAATACTTAAAAATTTAAAAATATTATCTTGTACTGTTGGGTACATATTTAATGAATAACATCTAATTGTTATTGGACCAATTAATCGAATATATTCATATCGATAAATTTTAACAAATAAATACATAAATAATAGTAATATTAAGTATTTAAATTTATTTTAGTTCATTAATTTCTAAATTTTCATTCATTATTATACAATATATATTACTTTTTTTTCCAATAATTTAATTTTAGTTACTTTTCAATTTTTATGATCCAATAATTATTAAATTATTATGTTTATTATGTTTTAAGTTTAAAACATAAAATATTTGATGTTGAGGGGAGTAAGTGTTACAAATGATACTTTAAGGGGGCAAGTGTTACATAAGCTATATATATTCGGGGGTGCAAAATGTATTTAGTTAGCCCTATTATAAAAAACAAAATTTTATTTGTAGTGATTTTTGATTTTTTTTTTTCTAGTGTGGCTTGACTTGTAGTTATCATTTGGTTGCTTCACATATTGCTCGAGGAAAAAGTCCTAGTATCAGACAGAATGTTGCAAACATTATCAACAACGTCGTATCAACTCGGTTGATTGTCGAGCTGGTCCTCTATGACACCTCTAGGAACAATCAACCTAGTTGATACAACGTTGTTGATAATGTTTGCAACATTATACTAGGATTGTTTCCTCAAATAACTTCTGGAGCAACAAAATGATCACTACATGTCAAGCCACACTAGGAAACAAAATTTCAAAAATTATTACAGATGCAATTTCTTTTTTAGAATCTGAAATGCTAAATCTCACACTAATTTTACCAAATCATGAACATAACTAAAAATATTTCTCTCTCTAAAATCTTCTCCTTTCCCACTCTTCTACTTGTTTCCTATTTTTTTTCCACAAAATGACATACTAAAACCGTCCCAGCACTCCAAGTTCGAATTTGACAAAAATCTTCACATGTTCAAACTAAAATAAATTTGGAATTTTTTGAGGAAAAAATTCGAATTGATATAAATTTGAATAATTAAAAAGGCTTAATCAAATTGAATAAATATTAAATAAAACTGAACTCATTTTCTATGATTATTCATGTAAAAAAATAATGAATTTTTAGTGACTTGGATAAAATTATTTTAGAGAGAATACGAGTAGAGAGAATTTTTTTTTAATTTATGTTTGAGATTTAGTAAATTTTAGTGTTGGATTTAGCTCGCCTAAGGATTAAACATGGTCTTGAGGTTGAGTCGTGGATGCATCTATTTTCATCGGACTAAAATACCAAGACTCTTTATTCTTTTTTTTTTTTTTTCCTTTACACTTTACTTTATCTTTTAATTGCTTTTGATAAAGAAATCGTCTTTACTTTTTTTTTTCTTTACATTTTTACTTTATCTTTTTTTTTTCCTTTATACTTTTACTTTATCTTTTTTATTATTACTTCATCTTTTTATTGCTTTCAAAAAGAGAAGGATCCCACGTATTGCAATTGCATCCACAACCACAATTTGAAGTCTTTTATGTTATTCTTGGAGAAGAGAGTTTTATATATTTTGATGTAAAATCCATGGTTCACGTAGATGTTTATATTGAGTTTTAAGAAATATAATTGTAAATTTATTCACCCTACATTTGATTAGCTAAACCGAGAAAAACAAAAAAATAGAATGAAACAAGCTGAGTTGGAAAAGTTTTCTATCAGTACATATGAATTTGAAATGAATCAATGTAAAGTTGTTCAATATAATGTTAAAGCACTTAGTGCACCATTAGCTTTATACTCATAGCTAACATTTGTGTCTAGCTATTATCATTTCTCAATATCAAAGCAATATGAAAGCAAGCATTAAACGACTAAGTCACCATTAGCTTTGTACTCAGGGGCGTACCCATGCCTATGGCTGGGTTGGCCCCCGCCCCCAAGTCTTTTTTAAGCTGTTTTTTTTTTGTATTTATGTATTAGTTAATGCACTTTCGCCCCTCCTCCCCCCTCCCCTCCAAATTTTAATTTTGTACACCTTAGTCCGCAAAAACAAAAAAAAAGATCCTCTCTTAAATTAACCTTATATTTCAGCCCCCACGAAAACCCCCTGTTCCGAATTGTACTTGTATATATTTGGATTCCATATATAGTTTTCTTTTATTAAACACATTGTTCAATCGAAACATATAATCAGTTGAAATTATAGAGTAACAAACACCGGTTGATCCACCATTTTCAAAGACGGAGTTCACCTCACCTTCAAAAAGAAAAATCACACTATTTAATAGCATATTAATTAATTTACACCATTTTTAGGATACTAGAACTAAAATTTACTAATGATATAAGAGCTTATTGCATTTATTACCCTGTGAGAATCGCAACTGCGCATTTTCCCCTGTCATAAAAAAAATAGCAAATACCCTCTGTATCTATTAGTCAAAGGCGAAAATCCGAATCGTCGCAAATCGTGTATCTCACTTGCCGGTTCTGCGATTTTTCTTCGTTTTTGCTGTGTGAAATGACATAATTGCCTCCAACATTTTTTTAATAAATTTTAATATATATTTTTTGCATTTTTTTCGATTTAAATTTATTAAATTATAAATATTTACAAAGCAATATTTGGTACTTACAAAAATATGAAATAATGAAATACATAATATTTTATAAATATTATATGTTTTTTGTAGAAAATTACAATTCACTCCCCAAACTTATTTGATTGAGTTTTTCAAAACTTCAATTTAGTCCCCTAGTTTTTTGCAGAAACCCCCCAAGGTACTTCGGTCCTTTTACAACCGCTCAATGGAGAAAGTTTAAATGGGTCGAGTATGCTATCTAAAAATAAATACATGGGGATTTTTGCTAATTTTTTTATGACAGAGGGAAAACGCACAGTTGCGGTTTTCGCATGGATAGTAAATACAATAAACTCAATGATATAAATACAAGAAAAGCAAAAAAGAATCCATAGAAAAATCAAATGTATCCATTAATCAAAACCCATATTAAATTCAACAAATTAAACAAATATTCGTATATAAATGAGATGCCAACAGAATCTCATCTATGAGACAAAAATTGTTTGAAATTAATCAACATATTGCTCCAAGCCCAATCTATAACTTGTGGTTCACAACTCGTTCTTGTTCCGTAGATATTCGTATATAAACGAGCGCATGTACATACGTTTCTTTATATCTTATAAGCAAAGTTGATTGAACCTAGTATTTGCTTCCGATCCCTGGTTGCATAATATAACATTATATGCATGGTGACAGGCACACACTATCTTGGCAACGAAACAGGGCCTAGGGGTATTGGAAAGTCAGTTAAGGAAAAAAACAAAACTAAGTATGATTCATTGGAAAACTTAAGCTAGAATTTGAAATAGCATATCTATCCTTTATATAATATTCCATATATACCAACAAGTAAGAAGTTATATATTAGCAACTAGACATGGCCACGGTGCGGGTCGGGTCCGGGTCTGGGTCGGACCCGTCGGGTCCGGGTCCGACTTTTCGGGGACCCGAAACCGACCCGCGGGGAGGCGGGTCTGGGTCTGGGTTCGGGGCGGGTCCACCCGGGTCCATCCGGGTCCGGGTCGGGTCCGGGTCCACCTGGTTTCTCAATATTTTTTTTTTATAAGAAAGGAAAAAAACTTATATTGAAACTTGAAAAAACATGAGATTAACTTTAAATACAAAATAAAAAAATGACTTTAAACACTAAACAAATTTAGAAAAAAATAAAACGATTAAGACTTTGAGACATAAACTAAATAAAATTAAAGTTGTGAAGATTGAATTATGGGTATTTATAAGTGAAAGTAATAAGTGAGAAATTTTTCAAAATTTCAAAATTAAAAAAATATCAAAATTCAATCTTTCTTTTAAATTAAATAGTATTTTTTTATATTTTTCAAAATTAAATATATATATATGCATTTGTTACTAGTCGAGATTTTTGATTTTGATAATAGTCAACATGACAATTAATAATATATAAATATTAATAAGTTATTGTCAACAATTGAGGTTAATCGATTTAAATTTGTTACTAGTCGAGATTTATATTTTTAAATAATCATCTTATGATAAGATACGCAATAATATTAATAAGTTCTTGTCAACAATTGAGGTTAATCGATTTAAATTAATTGAAATGAGTTCTAATCTATTTTTTTAAATAAACATATTATTTTATTTTTCATTCGATTTTTTCACACTGTCGATTTTAATAACATAAGTGAATTTGTAATAAGTCAACACATTTGTTTATATATTGAATTGATTCAATACTTTATATTTTCAATAGTGGAGATTAAATTGATATAGTAATTAATAATAGATGTTTTGATGTATTGAACCGTGATTCTATATATCTTTTTAAAAGTTTCTTATATTGCATTTGTTAATTATTTAATAATAATTAATATGAGAAATTTTTCATAATTTCAAAATTAAAAAAAAATCAAAATTCAATCTTTCTTTTAAATTAAATCGTAATTATTTATATATGCATTTGTTATTAGGAGAGATTTTTAAATATATATGTATTTGTTATAAGGGGAGATTTTTAATATTAAAGATAATGAACCTGACAATTAACTAATGTTATAGTTATTTTATAGTATTATTTATAATTATATATTTATAGTTAATATTAATATTGCAATAACTAACTTTGCCCGAGTTGTTAGTGCTCACTAATCCACCCTCGGGCTACCTGGGTTCGAACCCCCATAAGTTGCATTTTTGGTGATTATTTCATTAAAAATCCGGGTGGACCCGACGGGCCCTCGTGTCCGGGTCTCGGGTCCAAGAAGTCTGGACCCGAAACCGACCCGTACTTGGTCGGGTCCGGGTCCGGGTTCATGGTCAACGGGGCGGGGCGGGGCAGTCAACGGGTCGGGTCCGGATCAGACCCGACCCGTGGCATATCTAAGGGTGAAAGTTAGATGGATCGGATCGGAATTAGCATTTTCGGAAAATTTCCAAAAAATTTCGGAAGCACAAAATCAATTCCAATTCCAAATCCAAATTTTTCGGAATCTAAAAATTCATTCTTATTCCAAAAGGCCCGGAAATTTTGGAATTTCGGAAAAAAATCGAAAATCACATAAGCTTTAAAATTTCAAAACTTAGCCGAATATTTCTAAAATTTTCATAATTTTTCAAAAATAAGAGCATCCACGTCGATAAAAGTAAAACTAATAACTGCTAAATTCAGTTCAAAAAAATAAATAAAAACAAACACAACATAATAATCCAATAAAACTTCTAATAACAATTCATTATGTCAAAATCCTGAAACAAAACTTATAGGTTTATTTTTCAGAAAATAAGTATTATATAATATATACTATTTATAGGTGTATTTTTCGGAAAAAAAATCGGAATTTTTCGGAATTAATTTCGGAACTAAATCGGATCGGAAATCGGAAATTCCAAATTTATTTTATATAATTCCAATTTCAATCCAAGAAAATCGGAAAATTTTGGAAATCGGAATCTCGGAAGTCGGAATGAAAAAAGTTGTTCCAAAATCGGAACTTTTTGAATCGGAACCGGCAAAAATTGGAAAATCCGTTCCAACTTGCACCCCTAGCCATGTCTATCAGCAACCCGTAGGCCGTAGCAATAAAACCCGACAATTCTTCCAAAAGAAAGGAGAGACAAGAAAAAAAGTAAAAGTTAGAAAAAGAAAAAGAAAAAAGATAAAGATAAAGATAAAGAAAAAGATAAAGATAAAGAAAAAAAAAAGAAAAAGAGAAATTCAATCAGTTTGTATATTATGTATATATATTAATACTATATAAGAGCCGTCCTATTTTACTCTCCATGCAAGGTATTTGATAATCGTGATTATGTTCTTGTTTGTTGATTAAATTATAGTTGTTTCAGGCATCTTAGCCCCCCTTTCTCTATAGAAAACTCCTCAATTGAGGGACACTATTGAGGAGAGGGGACTAAGATGCCTGAAACAACTAGAATTTACATTATGTAGTAAGCTAAAGAGAATAAAATCGGGAGTGATCGCAGGGCTCATCGAATAAGAGGAGTTTCAATTCTTGTCCAATCTAACCACCCTTCAAATCAACGTTATAAGTTGTAATTTAGTTGGGCAAGATTTTAATCTTCCAAGAAATATTGTAAGTTACGATATCAGAATCGGAAATATTGTAAATATTGTAAGTTTCAATGAATAGGGTTCGTCGCTATATTTTATGCTCTTGAAACGATTATTATCAATGTCATAGTCGTAGTTTCTTCATTATTATTCAATGTTTTCGGATATCTCTATGATAGAAAATGAATTGTTATGTTTTCTTATATAATTAGGATGATGGAAAATTTCTTATATTGCTGACGAGCCCAAGACGATGAATCAGAATAACCTAATCAAGATTGGAAAAGTATTTAATTTTTTCTAATTATATTTTGGGATTTGGTGTATGACTCTTTGTAAAATTCTGGAATTACATATCCGTTATCTCACAAAAAATAGTTGAAGAAAATAAGCTCTTGATTATTAGCTGCAGATAGTGAAGCCTTGGTATGTGCTAGCTGCAAGTTAACACTAATTTTATGTGGGGGCATTTTCGAAATTAGAAAATGAGAGAACAAAATAAAGAGTTGTTATATTTGGATGTTGGAATTCGTTGTAATGTTTGTAAGCATTTTGATAGATTTATTTTTATTTTATTATGGGTAAATATATTTTGAGGGATGATTTGAGAATGAATAAACTTCAGTTATATTTTGGAAGGAGATTAAAAGAAAAAAGAAAAAACAAACAAACAGTGTAGCAGTTAATAACATCTGTAAGTGTTGAAATAATGTATATCTTAGAATAATAATTTATCAAACATAGTGATGTTTTATTCGATATTATGTAATTTGAGAAACTAAACAAACACAATATTTGAAGAAAACAATTGGAACAAAACAAATTGGTACTAAATTACATATACTTTTCGTTGTCATCTTATTTTCTATATAAGTTTCACATTTTATAAATAGAATATTATTTATCAAACAATAAAAATACTAACATATAATGTCATCTATATAGGCAAATAACATTTTATTAGAAAACTCTTCGAATATAAACAAATTATAAAATGTATAAGAGCTTAGACGCACTTCTAAATTGTTTTAAGTATAAAGTATGCAATTACATAAGATCAAAATATTGCCCAAAGTTAATTAATTACTCTTGTAAGAAATTGTATTAAAATATCTAAGAAAAAAATAATAAAGCACAAAAAATAATACGAAAATTAACACGAGACGTGCAACGCACGTTCGTCTTTCTAGTATATAATTAAAAAATAAAAGGCTCAGTTTCTTTTTCTTTATACTTCTACATTAGTTATTTTATTGATTTCCACAGATAAGAGGATCCCACGAGTCTTTTTGCCCAGTTTTGAAACATCAGTTTGCGATTTGCTACAATAATCTTATTTCTCAACCAACTTTTACTTTATTTTTATTTATTGCTTTTCAAAAAGCGGAGGATCCCACAAGTCTTTATGTTGTTTTTTTGAGCTGGAACAAATTATTGTTCAGTTTTGACATCTCGGTTTTCAATGTGCCAAAACTCGAAGATTTGATGAGCAAAAATCGTGCAAAACGAACTCTTATCAAACCTAAAATCAAAGAATAGCATACGACTTAAGATATTCGACTTTTCTGCCGACCAAAATATTAGATAGACTCAAGAATACGTAATCAAACAATAAGCACAATCATCGAGGTTTTGAGTAGAAATGTGGACGAAAAGTAAGTTTTGATTCTGAAATTCAAAAACTCGAATTGGGCATAAGTAGGTCTATTTATTAAATAGAAAAATGACAACAACAATTTTTTTTGGTGATTTTCATCACAACTTTTTCTTTTTTCTTTTTTTTTTGAAACGGGAATAATCGTGACTCGTGCAAGGTTCGATACCACTGTGTTATCTCTCTGACCCATGTATCGAACTTTAGTCTAGGAAACCCCCAAGCTAGTTAGCTCGAGAGACTAGGCGACGAAATGCACCCTACGGATTAAGCTCGAGTCAGAGAGGCTGGGAAATCAGAGCGTGAATCACGACAATACCATTTTTTTTATAACAAAATAACATAAAAAAATCACGTAAATACCATGTATTTAACTTTTAACCAACAACTCGAATCGTGAAAACATAATTCAATTCTAACTCACCCCCAAACATCAGAATATTACACCCCTCAGAAAAGTGCGCTCATGCGTAATCGGAAAGAATTCGAAAGGCTCTCAAAACAAGTTGCAGAAAGGTAGTCGGAAGGTTCATCTATTAATTGCCAGTTATGCACAACTTCAATTTTAAAATCAACTAGCCAGTCTACTAATCCATTAATTGCTTTGCTTCAATAGAATCTGGAAATGCAACTACACTCGATCCTAAATGATATGGATGTGACTAACATAAAATCCACTATCTACGTAGCACTAGATACGTGATAGGTTAAGTACAACGAAGAAGAACGAGGGGAAAAGAAAGATGTCGATGCGGCGGCGCGGCGGCTGGTGGCGGAGGTAGGGTTTCGGGTGCAAGGTGGGAAGCTAATGGAGGGAGAGAAGCTAGGGTTTCATGCTTGTCTTGTGTGTCTTTCACAAGACATATAAAATCATATTTATATGGTCCTTGTGGGCTTTTGAGATCCTACACCGGATGAAATACACTAGGTAGATCTTTATCATTCATACACACACACACACACACACATTGGTATGTGTAGATCAACGGTAAAAAATCACTCGATGTAACCTTCACCGGGTGTATGATAGATAAAATCGTCCTTGTGAAAGCCCTAACAGGCTTAAGTTGGGATAGGCCCAACAACTTAACCCCACTCTCTTCCTTGGCTCATTTCTAGCAAACAAATACTCGAAAAAATATAACAATTATGTTTTGATGACGAGCACAAAATTCTCATCGATACAATTATCACTTTGCAAATTTTCAATTTTCAAAATTAGAAACCCTAATAATATAATTTTTTATTTAAATAATGTAATAATATAAACTATTATAGAAATGATATAAAAAGAACATATAAATATTAAAATATATATAATTATAGTTTATTATTTATTTATTATTTGTTTTATTATAATCTAAATTTTTTTAATAATAAAATTTAATAATGAAAAAAAAATCTAAAATGAACTTGGGCTCGAGTTCGAGCTTGAGCCTGCCAACACGGGCGAGCTCGGGTCGTTCACACCACTTCAAGAGATATATTCTCAATAGATTTACAGTTAAAAAATTTCTAAACATGCAATTTTTCAAAATTAGGTTTTGCACTCGGGTTACTCATTGCTTGAAATCTTCTACATAAATATGTCCAATAATCATCAATTAATTTAGGGCTAAATACAAAAATACTCCTGTACTATGCACTTTGTATCATATAACTTTTTTTTTTTTTTTGAGTAATTCAAGTCATTACAAGGGGAAGTAGGGGAGGCGGACTCGAACCCTAGACCTTTTACCCTAATGGTAAGGCTAGGTACCAACTCTCCTAATGAGAGTAACTCTCCTAATGAGAGTTGGTATATAACTCTCTATACTACATATAAATACAAAAATTCCCCTGCTGTGATATTTTTTCCAAAATCTGACGAAAATATCCCTGATAAGCCTAAAAATATAAGGGTTTGTTTGAGCCATTTTCCACTGTATTTTTTAACAATTTTACTTGGGAAATCCACTAATTAGATGACATTAGATGAATACATAGATGACATATTTACCTTAGCCGTTTAACTTATTTGAGTATATCGGATACAAAATCCACCTACCAGAAATTAACATAAACAAAACTAATAAACTACTCATAGTCATGGTTTTTTTTTTAACAATTTATCATCTAAAAATATGGATTTTTTCGACAAATAATTTTTATCAAAGAAGCAATGAATATACACGACATACTCAATCAAAGTTTCACCCATTAGTACATCACCGTACAATAAACTAATTTAAGGCGTGTACATTAAATATCTAAAAATTAAGGAAGTAATTAATTGTCTGATGACAAATAATATGATTCCAGTTTGATCAATAATAACAAAACAATTATTTCGTTTTGTGCAGTTCCTTACATACAAAATGTGCCAAGAAAATAAGTTAGAACGATAACTCTCTGAGTTATTTTTTATTTATTGTACTCAATACAAATTAAATACCGTACTACAAGCTTTAATTTATTTCAACGGTTTTTCCAATTTCATCTGAATGGTGAGTGAATGATGTTTATGTTATTAACGAACTTTCAAAATGATTTTGTAAACAAGAGTTGACAATCGATGTAGATGGTCATATAATCATATTGGCATATATGTGTGGCCTATATATGGTCGAAGGACGAGTTGACCTGCTTGTGTGGCATGTTTCTGGCCGGTCGGAGTGACCTATCTATTTGAATACGGATGCAAACATGGAGTAGGAGTGATCCTCAATGTGTGAACTTATATGACCCTGTGTGGAGCTGATACACAACAGTAGACCAGTGACTTGAAAGAGTTTTATAAGAAAACGTAGTGACGTATTGTGAGATGTCAGTGTCATGGTATGGCACATGCGTTGCATCATAACGTTCACATTCGTGCCTAATATTTGCTAACGTACGGATGTTAGCTCATATAGTTATGCATTGCAAATGGTTTTGATACTATATGAGCCTCTAGCTCAAGACGCAGGTTGAATTAATTTATTGAATAACTTCGACGGTTCCAAGTTTTTGTGATAATTTTTTTTTTAATTCTTGTTGAAGCACTTAGAGCAACTCCAATATGGAGCGGTAATCAAAACGGAGTATCAAACACTCAATTGATGGTTGAAACAATATTTCGATACTTTTAAAAAACTCATATGCTCCAACCAAAGGTATTAAATAAATTATTATCCGTTACTTTTAAGCAATTTATTTTTACTCAAAAATAAATTATTATCCCTTTTCTATTGAAATTTATTGAGATTTTATTTCTTTTTTCCGTTAAAATTGCTAGAGCTCACGACTCCGGCCCACACAGTAATAATAATAAATTATTATTATTATCCCTCCGTCGACGACACAAGCACGAAAAACGTCTACTCTCGACACGATGTGGCACTTCACCCCAATTCACTCCCACATCGACTCGAGAGTGGGGGGCTTAATGATATGCCTATTGGCCCAGCCCAATAGACCCATACTTACTGGCCACAGGCCCAACTCAGTAGCTATTTATACGAAGGCCCACTCACACCTAAAGAAAGTTGGGCCCGATAAATTGATTTCGGCCCAATCAATAAAGTATAAATACAACTTAAATTCATTTAATAAAGGTACGCTATTATTATTCAATCAATTCTTCTATTCGAATTCTCTCGACAATTACCGACTATCCGCACGTCTCACTTGAGCGATGAGGGGTTTCCGCCGGATCAAACCCCGGCCTAGTTCACGTGTTTTCTGTTCGCAGGATCCTAGAGTAAATTAAAGTTCTCAGGACTATCTAGCTCGTGAGCACATGACCTACTTTGCTCTCCCAGCTTCAACACGCCAGGTGATCTATTTCTTACATCATCAATACTTCATTTAGTCCTCATATTGAAGTAGCTCTTAATTTATTGTATATAGGCTGGTGTATTTTTGAGGTAATCTAAGATTCTCTATTTGGTGGAGTGAACTATATTTTTTTATGTCGTACGTACGTTTTTTTAACAAGACCTATTTTTCTTATCATTAATATG